CTGCTATTTGCTTGATGGTTTCGTTTGGTAATCTGCGAATTTCATTACATAAAACTCTTTGTTGTTGTTTGTTTCTTTCGGAGTCAAACATTTTTGAAAATTCCTGTGTAAACCTTTTCCAGTTTGATTTTATTTCTAGAGGTAGTACTGAAAACCATTTTTGGGCTGCGCCATCTAAGGTTGTTTGTATTAACGCTGTGCGTCGATGTATCCAATTTTGATGTAGTGGCGTATTAATTGGTTCAGGTCCTATATTTAAAATCAGGTTTGCTGTTACTGCATTTAAATAATCTTCTACAGAATATTCAGGGTCTGTTCCTGTGAAAACCATTAAAGGTTTGTTTGATGTTATTGATGATCCACCCATAAGGTATGGATTCATTGTCATTTGTAATGATTCTGCTGCATTTGGCATTTGAGAAAAATTTGAAAGTTGGTTTCTTGTTATTTCATGTTGTTGGAGATAATATGGGAGTGGTATTTCATTTTGCATTTGTGATGCTTGATACGAGTGTGCAGTCATTGGATTTTGTTGTTGAATTGGTTGAAAAGATTGTGTATTAATTGGATTTTGTTGTTGAATTGGTTGTTGATGTTGTGCATCTATTGATTGTGGAGAAAAATTTCTATGATTTGTACGTGTTTTCTGTATTCCTTGTCTACGATATTCTTGAGTATTTGTTGCAAATATATCTGGTTGTAAGAAATCATCATCTGAGGATAAATAATCCATTTGATAAGATGTCTGTTTTTTATTTTTATTTTGTTGAAAAAATGGGTAATTTTCACTGTGATCCTGTGGAGGATTTGTTTGGAAATTTATTGAATTAGGTTGGGTCATTGGGTTATCCCAATTTCGAGATCTTGTATATTGGTTAAAATTTCTTTGTGGTTGATTATATGTTTTTGATGGATGTGTATAATTATAATTATGGTCTGTAAAGTTGTTTCTAGTGAATGTTTTGCGTGTTTTTGATGGTATTGTCATGGGTCTGTATGTTTGGTAATCCATATGTGAATATTTAGGGGCAACCGAAGGTTTAACGGTTGATTGTAAGGTTACCTGTGTTTGTGAAGGATTTGTATTTCTTGGTGTTGTTAAATTTGGGCGTATTGGTGAAATACTTTGTTGTGTAGTTGTTGTGTGTACAATTTCTTCATTTATGAAGTGTGATGGTGTCTGGATATCTTGTTGAGTAAGATTCCTAGTTCCATTGAGGTTTTCATTGTGTATAACTGTAGAGTTTAAACTATTATTTTGTGTATCTGGCAAAAATGTATTATAGTTTAATGGTGTTGCATCAATGGTTAATGGTATTACTTTTACATAATCTCTTATGTAAGATATCGTACTTATTGCTTGACTTGAGATTGTTTGTGGGAAGCTTATAAATGCGGGATGAGACCATTCGGGGTCCCAAACATAATCTGATTGTTCTGTGATAGCGGTATCATCGTTCGAGTTTTGGGGTCTAAAATTTTTTCTTGCTTGTGCAATTAAATCAATATTGTGTGTGAAATAATCTATTATGAACCATGCCAAAATTTTTTGTAGATCGTGTTTTGTATGTTGTGAAACGTCGTCTTTCGTGAAATTTTCTTTAATGATGTTTAAATAACTAGAGAGTAGTGTGATTTCATGTCGTACTCTTAAATGTTTAGATGTTTCTGTCGGTGAGACATTTGTTATTGGGATTTCGTTTTCTAATATCGAAATATAACTATATATTATTGCGAAAACTTCATTGGTGAATATGGAGTTTGCTCTTTGTGAGTTATGATATTGGATGCTTTTTATATATTCTGAAAAAACTTTTGAAAATTCTAAATCAAGATCGTCTGTTTGAATTGTATATTTTCTATTATTATGGTTTGGTGAGGTGAATTCTATGGAGTAGATTCCATACTGTTGTGTTATGTTGCATATATCTTTTAAGTAGTGGTCTATGATTTGTCTTTTGATTTTTACATCTGGGAACTCTGTTTTACATGGACTGATTCCGGGTTCAAATAAATTTAATAGTAAATTTTTGCAAAATATATGCTGTCCTCTATCAGTGGTTGCATCTACTATAAAAGGAAAGATTTCATCATCATCTGGACTTTCTTCACCTGGGGTGTGCGTTGAGCTCATTTTTTCGTTCGATGACTGTTAATATGTAATTATTAATGTGTCGAATTGGTTGATTCCAATTGTATAAATGTACTGGTTTGTGTTTATACTGCTTTTTTATTCTTCTTTTTCCTCTTTTTGATGAATTTGAAGTTGTTTCTGAGTCAGAAAAATATAATTGATCGTGAAGTGGGTAATTTTTATCTATTGATTCTTTTAGTTTGTAAAGTTCGTCTAAACTGTTGGTTTCTGATTCTGAAAATGCGTTTCGATTTTTTGAAAATCTTTTTCGTGTTATTTGTCTTTGTTTCGTTATTATTTTTCTTTTTAGTGTTTGTCGTTTTGTTCGAATGTATCCAACTGTTTGTGTATGAGGTGTGATTACAAGGTCGTATTTTTTGTTATCTATTTCACAATTGTGTAAAACGATTGTTTGTTTATTTCCTAGGTTTTTAAATGACATAAGGTTTAGGATGACGGATGCAAAAGGTTGTTAAATGATTTCTATTTTCCTAAACTGTTAGTTCTTACGATTTTTTGGTTAGCTTAACCTGGGTCTGTTTGTTCAGGGTTGGAGAGAAAAGTATATCGATTCCGAAGAATGATTTTTTACTTTCTCGTGGCTAGTATAAGTTAAGGTGTTAACTTACTTAATCTTACTTAGGGGTAGTGATTGTGTTCAAGGGTTGGAGAATAGTAAATCGATCCACAAGGTTCAGGTATAATTAGAACGCGAGTAGTTCGTTAGATACTATTTTAAACTTACTAAGTCTAAGATTTATCCTGGGTCTGGTAAGAGGGGGGGTCAAGTGAAGGATGAATAACCGAAGTTCTTCACTGTTTATCCTAATTTGAATGATTAGTTTTGTTTAAAAATTTCTATTAGTCTTGGGTCTTTAGAAAGGGTTGGGTAGTGAATCGACGTTTGAGGTCGTTAGACACTAATTAAGTGGGTGGGGGAGAACAAAGTTGTTCTGTTTGATCCAAGGATAAGCCTTGATGATCAAATTTGAAATTTAATTAAGTAGAAAATGATTTAAGATCCAAGGATAAGCCTTGATGATCTGGTTTTAAAATTAAGTGAATTTAAGTTTTAATAAAAATTTAAATGTGTGTAAAGGAAAGATTTAGTGTTTTGATGATATTAGTGGGTTTATGATTGCTGTTATGTTTTAGGTGATGGAGCTGGAACAACAGGATGATTTATGATTACTAACCATTTATTGTCATGCTACTAATTTTTATTTTTTATTTTTCAATAAATATTTTTCAAACATGTTTTGTATATTACTGCAGAGTTTTAGGAAAACGATCTTATATCTTTCTATCAATCGTTATTGTATATTAATAATTTTGTTTAGCGCCTGAAATGATTTTGAAGATTAACTTCAAGGTTTTATGTTTGCAAATGAAAATCTAAATTCATTGCCAGTAGTATTCTAAATATAAAAGTTTGTTCTGGTTTTTGCCTAACTATCATATAGCTATATGGCAAATTTCTACTTTGTCGTATGTCGTCTCTGGTTCGAGGTCTTCTTTCAATTCCGGGTAGTTCTGTTATGGTTCGGAATATTGGCTCTGATCTATTGAGTCGTAGAGACATTTCGATTAAATTATTGTCGTATAACATTTTGTAAATGTTTTTGTCTAATTTCTAATCTATTTTGGTTAATTCTAAGCTATTAAGGTCTTGTTCGAGCCTCACTGGTCGCACCAGATGAGTTATGACCGAGTTGGTTAACTCATAGAGTAATTTCGGATAGGGTACACCGTCTGCTCGTCACGCTATCTTATTTTCGGCCGGATAGATTCGTGCAACTTCTTAGTCTAATACCGATCCTAATCTTACTCTTATACTATCTAGTCTCAGGTTGTTTAACTAGTCTCTGCTAGGCTCAATAGATCTAGGGTATACTGGTTTATTGCGGCTGCTGAAGTGCTCGGGAGAGTCCAACTAATTTCTAAGTTAAATTCAAATCTCTCTGGTGCTAAAATTACAAGTAACTTCAGCACTTACAAATAAGTGGGTTGTTAGTTAGATGGACCATGATTGGTTAATATTAAATACTTTACATTGGTAAAATATCTAAATTATCCAATCATAAAATGTAGTTTAGATCAGGTTCCAGCTTGTCGTCTAACATTAACCCGGAAGCATTGTCTGTTCAGTTCTCAGTCATGTGTTGTGAAGGTTTGCCAACTTCTATGCATGCTCGTTTAGCTAATATCAGTGTACAGGTCTGGTGGTTACGTAGCAAAATGTAGACAAGTCACAAAGCAGACACGTAAAAAATTGACAACTACGATATTAAACAATCAGAATCGAGAACAGGAGGCAAACTTAAAAAAAATTAATCAATAGTTTTTTATTTCTTAACTTTGCTTTCTGTTCTCGATTCTGATTGGTATGTATAATTGTTGTCTACTTTTTGAAAAGTATGAATAAAATATTGTCTTTTTTCAACCGCACCCGAAGTCTGGAATAGGTCAAGAAATGGACAAATGTGTACATGTAATAATATATGGAATGGAAGTACTGTTTACAGACATAAATGCAGTGGTTGGAATGAAAAAACGACTTTTTTATTTTTTTGCAGTGATTACTCTGTTCAAAAGTTTATTTTCATTCGCTACTTGAACGATATTACTCATATTCTTATTGTTGATCCGCAAACAAGTTTTCCGGATGAACAAAGTCTTGGACTAGCTCTAAGTCTTTGAAATTGTTTTTTCAACCGCAGTGCCGTTAGTATAAAAAGATAGATTGCTTTGTAGCGTTGACTTTTTGTCCAGAGAAAAAAAAAATCAACCGCGCTCGCTGCAAATATATTTTGCCAAGCGTTGAAAAAATAAAATACGTTATCTGCATGAAACTGCAAAATAAGGAATAACCGTGATCAAAGCTTATATATGCCATTACAACATGCTACTTTCTTTGGTAAATATTGGTAATGGCTCAAATTTTCTATGCATAAAATGTAGCCTTCATAGTTTGATATGTGAATAAGTAGCTTCAACCATTTGTTTGGCGTTAAAGTAGACCAGACGACTTGATCATTTTCATTTCAGTCCAGATTACAATTTTACTCCGTACTGTCGTTTTTAGACTCATTTTATACGTTGAATTTTCTGTTTTTTTAAACAAACTGATTTTCAGATATCAAAAGTTTATGGTTGCAAAAAACTGTCGTAGGATCTTTCATAAATTATTTGCATTAAAAATATTAATTTTTTCAAACCAATAATTGTTGATTGTTCCAATTAATCCACGATGTCATAAAGAACACTCAATTTAAGTCCATAAGTTACTATTAACAAGTTACCTTTCTGATTTGATCAATAAAGTTTCTCCCTCCAAGTTATTAGAACCACTCTTTCATCCTAATTTTACAAAAAAAAATGGGAGAAACCTATTCACGACTGGCAACAAACAACCCAAATGTGCCATTCTGCGTCATCAGTTTCTACTGGGACCAGTTGAATGTGTTCAATGCAGATGAACAGCTGGTTGGCCAAATAAGATCATGTATAATGTACAATTGGCCAAAGGGGATTCAGAAAGAAAGCAGAGTGTCAGATGTGATCACATTCAAGTTGAAAGGTAAGATTTTGCAAGAAATTTGAACATAAATTTTATTATAAAGTGTGCGAATGACATAATCAAGGAAAAGCTAATTTTTCAAACTGTAAGTCCCAAGATAGCCTCTGCAAACATCAAATTATACGGCTAAAGGTTGTGCGAAATAGGCAGAATATTGTAATTAATACTATTTTTTCTGTTCGAACGCAAAATTTTTAGTTTCTTAGATCGTATCTAAGAAACTAAAATTTTTGCGTTCGAGCAGAAAAAAAAGTATTAATTGGTATTTGAAGTGGTTGACCTAAACTTTAAAAAAAATGCCAGTCATACGAATTTCACGGAGTTACAACTCTTGTCATATGACTACTTAGAGCAGGAAAAAAATCGTGATATGCAGATTTTGCAGTTTTCCATATTTGGAGTTGTATTGCTTTTTATCGAGTTGGGCTCCAGTGCGCAGTTTGGACTCGTAATGAAACCAACAGTGTCTGGGCGGCGTTTTAGGCTTGACAGTTTGTTTGAGCGCATTTTTTTTCATGCTTAGTTGTTCTACAAAAATATTGTTCATCTTTATACCGACTAAATGATCTACGAGGATATCAAATAATTTGCGGCAAGTTTTGTTTATATATTATCTGGAACCAGATGGCATTGGAAAAATTAGCATGTGGGGCAATTTGGAATTGCTTTGAGGCAAAATGATATGCAGCCGTACTTTAGGGCCTTCTTGCCTTCTTTTTTGGCAACCAGCCCCTTAAAAATTTTCAACAAGTTTCCAAAAACTGCTCAAAACGAAATTATTAACTTTTTTCTTCAAAAAGAGAGCCTTGTAGGGTTGCTGAGATATCTCAGTAAACCGAACTTATTGGCTTGAATAACTAAAAAAGGTCGTCAAAATTTTCGAAATATTCCAAAATTTCGCGAATGAATTCGAGAATAACTGTAATAAATGACACTCGTCCATTACGACGCCTAACTCTGCACTGGATAGTCGCACAATTTGGTGTTTTTAGGTCTCTGCAATCCAGAGACAATTCTTTAATTATGTCAAAATTTTGCCAGAACGAAAGAACAAAAAAAGAACGAGAGCGCCCTTGTTGCGGAACCCGCTTTCTATTCACAAAAATTTTGGTTTTGTAATGTGGTTGGTTTTGTGTTTGTTCTAGGAAACCCTTTCTGGCCCCAATCATCAGACCACGCCCAGTTTGTCCACTTCGCCTGTATTCTGCTGAAAGAACTGTCTAGATCGGGATACATCAAAATAATGTCTTCGGATGTGAACTGGTACTGTAGTTTGAGTGCGTGGTTCTTCTACAAGTCGCCTACCACTGTGGCGAATGACATAGAGTTCTGTGCCATTGACATGTGGGGCTGGGACAAGTTGAAGTTCTTCAACCTTCCTCCTGCAATCAACGAGGGTATCAAATTGTTTGTTTTGATTTCTAAAAATGACTTTGGATCTTTTCTGTTATACGTCACAAGCTAACATGACGGAAGAAAAATCACGGAATTTTCAATAAAAAACAGCTCAATTAAAATTTGGACAAATTGTCAATTTAGGCGGTATAACAGAAAATACCCATGAGGTGTTTTTTTGCTCGTAACAGATGTAAAAACCAACGTAGTGCACATCACCTTTTGGATTTCTGGATGGGAATTTCCATTCAGCGTTCCAAAAAATTGAGAAGTTGTAGCGTTTTCCTGAGATTTTCAAAACACTGAAAGTTGTAAATTCTTTTTGAGTTGTTGTTCCGACTATTGAAAATGGGGAGAACAACAACGAGGATTGCCCAGTGTTGCCCACTTGAATTCGGGGGTGTTTTTGCTTTTTTTTTTTGTTTTTCGTTTGTTTTTTCGTTTTCTACGCAAAATCAGACGTCACAAATAATCATCTGAATGGGTAAAAGAGTAAGCTGAAGCCTCTTCAAAAGTGATTCGAACTAACCTAGAAAGCATTAATTAAGACATTTCCCAGTGTCGAGAAAAATTGTTTTTTTTTAGCGAGCAAAGCGATCGAGTTACGATCGTTCTACGAAAAATTACTCAAAAAAATTGGTTTTGGCTGTTTCATTTGGCGCTTTCTTGGCAGTTAAGGTTTTACGACAAAAAGTTTTAAGCAAAAATTTAGAAAAACGTAATTTTTTGTTTTTTTTTTCATTCAGTTTTTTAGACAAATTTTGCCAATTTGACGAAATAAGTGAACTTATTTGCCTTTGTATAGTTCTCGAATAACATTGCGCACTAAACACGACACTAATACGAAGGAAAAAAAAACGTTTATTTCGTTTTTTTCACGAATATGGTAGGAGCATTCGGTGCTTCTTGTATTGCAATCAGTAATCCTCGTTAGTCTTTGTATTGGTCGGCATAGGATATGAAGTTGGTTTCATACGTTTTTTCGGTTTTGTGGATGCAAAATGTTGCAGTTATGTTCTTTGATTGTTAATTTTTCTACCTTCTAAGTTCTAAATGAAGTTGATTGTTCAGTTTTCTAAATTCCTAAGTTCTTAGTTCACTATTTATGTCCATTTAGCGATGAAATACGTGGTGTTCGAGAACTGGAAAGGAGTCCAACAAGCGCGTGTAGAAGACAATATCTTCACTATGAAACTGAAAGGGTTTCCCTGGCAAAACCCAGGAGGAGAGGACGGGGTTCGAAACCGCTTGCTAATTATGAAGATGATACAAGTTATGGCGAATTACGGATGGACACTATATTCTGCGACTAATATAGACGCACAGACAGGTGCCGATGTGATAGCGAAAAGTCCATCAACATAGAGTCGCTTCATCTAAACGATAAAAAAATCAATAAAGTGTTTGCAAGTTAGATCCAGTTTGAAAAATACGGAAAGAGATCATTTAAAAGAAAAATGAAATCAGTTTGAAAGACCACCGAGGGAGAAAAGTTTCCTGAAACTTAAGAAAACTCCTCGCCGGGGTTTCCTGGTTATACAAATTAAATAAGTTAGGTTTGGTTTAGACGGATACAGACTCAAAAACAAACGTTAGATCTCGATGTACTAGCAAAGGTTTTTAAAACTTATAAATATAGGTTTCTCTTACTTTTGATGATCGACCAAAAAATGGCACGAAACAGAAACAATCCATAAACCTGATGAAAAATTTTGCCTACAAATTTTCATGTAGAAAGTCATTTGCTTATATATACAGTAGCTGATTTAGGGGCCGGGGGGGGGGGGGCGCTTCCCTCCCTCGGGGATTCGACCCGCGGCGACCAAAATGGCCCCTCCTTTGTACTATTTTGAGATCTCTATTTTTGATGAGTTACCCTAGAAATTTTCTGAAGGCGTCTTCGGTGCCAATAAATACTATTCTTCGCGAGCGCGCGCCGAAAAAACACAATTTTTTTTGGTCAAAATTTTCCAAAAAGTGGCTAAAAACGCCTTTCAAAATTTTGCCTGCGGGGCAGAAAGTTTGACCAAAACAAGGTCTTTCTAATGCTGTGGGAGAGCTCACAAAATCAATTTGGTCGAACCTTAAAAAAAGGTCGACAAAGTTTTCGAGTTTTTTTTGAAAATCCGCCCCCTCGAGAAAATCTTAGATCCGCCCCTGCTTATACACCTAGCAATCGGCTACTTATGTATATATTTGAGTCAGTTGAAAATTGGACATATATCTATCACATTTGCGCCAAAAAACAGATACGATGTTTTTCTGCCGAAAGCCCAATTTGTACATATCGCCTAATTTCACCCAATCAATGTTCGCAATCAGTCTGAACCTAAACGACCGACTGCGGCTCATGAATTCGAACTCCCAGGTAGTCGACATAGTTCGAGGAGTTGTGACTCAGTTTTGGTCGGAGATCCAAGGGGAGCAAAATCATTTCGGAAGTCACGAATTCAAGTTGAAAGGGTACCCTTGGTACAGTCGGGGGGAGCGAGGACTGCCCAGTGTTACCCTCCTGTGTCAGTTGTTCACTGCTCTGAGGAGGGTGGGGTGGAAAGTTATCATGAACTTAGGTCAACTTGTACAACTTGGGTCAGAACAGAACCAGACTTTCGGAAAGTTTTTCGTGAAAAGGCAAAACTTTTCAAAGTATAGGATAAAAAGTTGCGATTTATGTGAATTTTGTGCATTAAGTAAGCAGAAAACAAATTAACACATGAAACACAAGATTTGATGTCATTCTTCCGTGAGACGTTTGATTTTTCTCTTTAGCTCAGTGGATAATGTCGTTTTGCTGGTAGAGAACTGTAAAAAGTTTCTGAGAACTGAAGTTTTTTGAGAACTGTAAAAACATTGTATCGTTTGTGAAACAAGCTCCAAAGTTGTAATATCACCGTTCTAGGGCAAAGTGGGTCGGTCGGTACAAAAATTGGGATAAACGCGAGTTGAAATTCTGTTTCCAAATCGATGGAAATTGAAACAGTCTGTGTTATTTGCTTTAAAAGTGGACTCCGGTGATAAATATTCATCAGGGATGACCAAAAATACTAGTCATACAATTTCCATATATTAATTCTAAAATTAGAGATTTTAATTTACCAGACATTGATCAAGGCATACAAAAACATGTCATACAAAAGAAAGAGGAGTTTTAAGCGTTTTTGAAAAAAGTTATGAAGAGAAAAGGAAAAAAATCCAATATTAGTATATCCAGGACTACGTTATACACACAAAAAATTAAATTTTGCATGCAAAATTTTTTTTTCAAAAAATGTTTGTTTGAATACGAAAATCAATTTGCGGTTGGAAAAAAAACACAAAAAATTTTTAGGGGGCAATTTCAAAAATACTTTCAATTTCAAAAAACATAAAATTTTGTCGTCGCCATCAAAAAAATGCTAGTCATACAATTTCCATATATGGAAATTGTATGACAAGTGTTTTTTTTTTTCAGAAAACAAAAATCAAAAAAAAACACAGTTTTCAGTCGTAGCAGCCCAAAAAACGCTTAAATGTTTTGCCAGCAGTTGAATTGATTGTTCAAAGCTTTTTTTTTTCACAAAAAAAAATTTTAAAAAATTTCTAATCATAGAATTTCCATATATGGAAATTGTATGATTAGCATTTTTTTCATACCATTTTTCTTCCTTTTTTTAATGAAGAGATACCATTTTCGATACCAAAACAACTATTAAATTCCCTTGAAATTCGATTAAACTCATTTTGCAAAAATGTATGAAATTTGTATGACTAGCATTTTTCCATAGACTAAGTGTATGAAATTGTATGATTAGCATTTTCGGTCTATGGAGGTCAACCCGGGCAATACATTGGCAAGCAGCTTACGCTTTTTGACCCAAGTTATATAAACGCGCCTTAATTAAGACATCAGCAGGAGCCAGACTGACAAGGGGGTGTTCTTCTTCATAAATATGCCCCCCAAAGAGACCTACTATTGTGCTGTGGGGGTGAAGGACTCCAATCACCTGTACGCACTACACATGCACGAACAGATTCATACATATCTGTCTCAGGTTAGAAGAAATTAAAAGAATCAAACTAAGAAAAAGAATGATAATATTTCATGGGGCATGTAGACAAATTACATTAGCTCAAAAGTAGTATCAGAAAAATAAGAGTCGATTGACGTAGCTCAGAATCTTTTACATTTTCGCTGTTCGATACCTGAATTCACTTCCTTTTAACAAAAAAAAATGAAGTGAACAAAACTGAAAAAGAAATCAAAAGTCAGACCGCGATAAAAATCCGAGCCTGAACAACTTTTAACATTTTTGCCGAAAAAAAACGGGAAAAAATCAATAAGACCTTATAGGTCTTATTGATTTTTTTCCGTTTTTTTTTCGGCAAAAATTTTCAAAGTTGTTCAGGCTCGGATTTTTATCGCGGTCTGACTTTTGATTTCTTTTTCAGTTTTGTTCACTTCATTTTTTTTTGTTAAAAGGAAGTGAACTCAGGCATCGAACAGCGAAAATGTAAAAACTACCAAAAACGTGTTCGATTTCCAGTTTTCGAAGAAATATTTTTCAAATTTTTCAGAGAAAGGAATTTTTCATTAATTCCCGCATTGGAATTCCATGGATAAAAATCGGTAATACTTGAGTTTTGTTGTCAGTTTTCACAAAACTGAAAAAAAAAGATTATAATCAGTTAAAATGGATTATAATATCACTATTGTTCGAGGCAACAAAATCCGTTTTTAATCCTTTATAATAGATTTTTTTTTTTTCATTTTTGAGGACGCCGTCAAAGAAACTCAAATATGATCAACGTTTACCACTTATTGAGTTGCAAATTTCAACGTACATAAATTTTTTTCTGCGTGCTAAACTAAAGTTGGCTACTTGTTGTTCACTTATGTTACTCAATAACGGAGTTTTGTTCTTTTCAACAATTTTCATAAAACGTTATAAAATTGGGAGGGGGGGGGGGGTAAAACTGAAGGTGGACACTAATCTCCCTATATCCATTAACCCCTAGCGTTTTCCACCTTCGACCCCTCAGAACCCCCCTTGCCCAACGTTTGTCCCTTTGTGCCCTTACATCCGTAATCCCCTCACCTAGTTTAGAAATGGAGTAGGCCGTACACTCGCTTCGCAAAGATTCGGCATTGCTCATTTGATAAAAGCAAATTCTTGCAATTTTTTGCACGAAGCGAAACAAAAATAAAGTAAAAAAAATACATTTTAAGGTGATTTTCTACTTATTAAATAATCCATTGAAAAGGATTTAAAAAAAATGTATTTGATTTTTTTTTCGCGAGAAAAAATAGATTTTAATCCATTTTTAGTGCATTTTTGTTTTCTGGGCCTAACATGAGAATCGATTATTTTGACAAAACTTTAGACCACAAAAATCCATTATGATTGATTTGCTTTCACTTTTCATAAATGCGGATGATCCAGTTTTCTCAAATTGGGTTACTCCTATCAAAAAGTTTCAAACTTGCTAAATTATTCTGAAAACCTGATGAGCTTTAAAAGCATGTGTATAGTTCTTTGAAATTCGAAAGCTGAGATTTGTTCAAAAAACTAGTCAGTCTTTTTTTCAAACACTTTCAATTGCCCTGATGGCTATGTTTAAATTTGAATGGCAAAGACAGTGTTTTTTTTGTCAAAAAACTGCCCTGGAATGGCAATTTAGCCTACTTTTCTAAAAATATATTTTTTCTTTTTATGAAGTACGCTCATTTCTCATTTCTCGTTTCATGAATTTCTCAGAAAAATTGATATGGCTCAATAATATCTTCTTTAAAATATACGGACGAAGAAATATAACGTATCGTTAATCTTGGCAGCAATAAAAGTCAAGCGTGGCAAATTTAGGACCTCTGTCAATTTCTCAAATTTTCAGTAGAAGTTTTGCAAACTCAATCAAGAAATTCAAAAATGTTCGTTCATAGGCGTAATACAAAACATCCTGGCAGCACTATAAGTTTTGAGAAAAACAGATTTACACAATCTGAAATTTATTCTGAACTTGCAGCTCATTCCATGTTTCTTCGACTTGAAAGAGCCCCCCTTGATCACCTATGGGGGTAATGCAATCAGGTGGACCCTGCAAGGTACGCCTTGGGCAGTCGATGGCCAGAGTCCGGCTAAGTACAATGGGCAACTGATGCTGGCTGCACTCGTGAATGCAATGATTGGGTTCAACTACCATCTATGCAGTGCCGCTGATATTACAAGTTAGTATGTAAATCGTAAATTCTTAGAAGTTATGTACTACAACTATTTGGTGTTTAAGCAAAAAAAACAGTTTTAGGTAAATTAATGCGTAAACTTTGTATGTTTTTTGAGTCTGTAACTTGTACATTCTGCATCGTTGCTTTTCCATGAATCAAAAAGGACGATTGATACTGCTTTCGTTTTTATAACACTGTTACTCTTGACGAGGTCGGTTAACTCTTTGACGTGAAGTTTTTCCAGGAACGGTTTTATAGTAATGCAATTTTCAAACATATGGGCACAGTTCTCGAACCCATTGATACAGAAAGCACATAATGGATCGGATTTTAAATTCCTACTCCATAGAACGTTTTTATCTGGAAGGCAATTTAAGAGTAGACGGTAGAACATTTTTTTTTCTAAGCTGGTCATTCTTAGCTGGTGCAATTTTTTTCAAAGCTGGTGCAAAGTTAGTAATCGCTTGTTAAAGCTGATATTAAAAGTTAGCATTGCGAAGCTAATACCGAATTAGATGCAAGATTGCGGTGAAAAGTTGATCTTTAATAGCTCCCTCATAGCACCAAGGTTGTGTACTTTGGAAGCGAACTGAACTCCGTAGACATTCTAAAGCACTCGTAATTTTGCATCGAAGCGTACTGCGTTCTGGAAATACGATGGAGTCAAAAATCTAATGTAAGCGAACATTGAGAACATCATTGAGAACATGGAGGTTGATTTGATTTTTATTTAGAAAAAAAATTACCATAACTATACTAAGTTCATAGACAATTTGCTACATAGCGACACAGTGCTGAGTTAAATTATCCGAACAAACTGAATAAAACTTGAAGTTAAAAAGCGTTTTTCTCGAAATGGGTTGATTTTAGAAACAAAAAGAATGACGATCGACCTTGCCTAAAAATTTAACAGATTTAATGTGTTGCATTTTTTTTGTTAAGTTCGGGCTCAAAACACTACCCAAAAACCCAAAAAGGACCATTTTTGGATTTGTTTAGACAATCAAACTACTTCAAACTTGTTTGTTCATTACTAACTAAACCATATTACTGCGAGCCATTTATGTAGCCCAACAAAATTAGGAAGTGTATAACCGCCTAAAGTGGGTGCAAAAGGTTCTTATTAAAAGAAATTAGGGTTTTTTTTTTTTTTTTTAAAAAAAAACGATATTCTTTGGCTATCAAACGAAAATAAATTTGTTTTTACAAAGCAGGATTCTTACACCTTTCTCAAGTTTTGTTGGGCGACATGAGAGGCTTGCAGTGATATAGTTTTGTCAGTAAATGAACGAATTGGGTTTAAGTATTTTTTGAATGTCTATGTCTAAACAAAGCCAAAAACAATCGTTTCTAGTGGAATTTTTCGGGTCCGAACTTCGCAAAGCAAATTACCCCAGATTAATTCTGTAAAAAATTAAAAAAGGTTATTCTTCGTCATTCTTCCTTTACAATCGACTCAATTTGAGAAGAATGAATATTAAATTTCAAGTTTTATTCATTTTGTATGGATTATTTAAATCAGCACTGTATGACCAATAATGGTACTCAAGTATTACATTGAAAACTTGATTCCACAGTTCTCTTAAAACCAACCAGATCCGAAAACTTTCAGTTTCAATTGTTTATTTTTGTGGAATCTGCTTTTTGTCGTTGATTTCTAGGAATAAATTATAGAGTTTTTCATTTATTTCACTTTTTTATTAATCCAATTTTTCTCTATCTCGTAACTTGCATTAATACAATAAATCATTTCCATTATACTTCAAAATTATCAAACGTATCTGTGAATTTTATCAAGGTAAGATAATAAAAAAAGTTTATTTAGTCTGTGTTGCCTTAGTTTCATCCATAAAGAAACTGATTTTGAAGTTTACATTAGCGCTTTTTGTCAATTAAGCACTTCTGTTCTTGATATTCTAGAAGACAACTCTTGTTAATTATGTCTAATTTAAGGAAATTACAAGTGTTCGTCTGAATCTTTCTAATACACCGCGCGCAAAAAAAAATCACACAAATTTGGAAAAAAGCCTTTCACAGCAACCAGTTATCCTTGTACTTTAACCCAGTGTATTAATTTTTGAATCAAAATCTTAAATTGTTCAAGCAAGGAAAGTTAATTTTGGAATGGTACACTTTTGAATTATTTTCTTGACCGAATTTCCTTAAAAACTAAAATAACGTACAAAAGTTGATTTAGCGGAAAAGGAGAGGGGAAGTTCTTCAGGTATTCAACCCCCTGCCGACTCAAAGGGTCCCCCCTTGCATTATTTTGATATTCCGTCGTTCGCTCTCATTTCCCCCTCCCCTCAGGGATTCGACCCCCTGCCGACCCATAGGATCTCCCTTTGGTACTTTTTAAGATATCCGTTTTTGGCTGTGTTGTGATCTTACATCAGGTTTTGCAATTATTGCAAAACATACTTAGTTAATTAACCGGTCACTCATATATGACCTTCATGAGCCATTCTCTCCGGCGGAGAGAATGATCTCTCATTGTTTTAATGTTTTAACTTATTGACTAATTCATCTTAATTCTTATTCTTTTTATTAGTTTTAACCTAGAATTAGCTACAACAAAGTAACATTTTATCATGGCGCAGTCATCTAACGAATCTAACGTGAGAGGAATACCTCCTTTTTGGCAAAACCATACGGTAGACCCACCCATCCCTTGGGAAGACTGGAGTGATCTGTTTCAATTAGCTATAATTGCTAAGGAAAACATAGATATAGAAAATTTACTCAATCCGTCGGAGAGACATCACCCACTACCTCCAAATTTGGAAAACTCAACGGACGGTGAAACAGATACTCAAAGACGCTCGAGATTGGAGAGAAATTCCCAAGAACAAAGACGATATGACGAAGAAGAAACAGCATCGATAAAAACCGAAACCAAGAAATTCAACGGAATGCGAATAGAAGAAGCAGACAAGAAATTACGTTCGGTTTTGTATCTGGCACTGGGAAATGAAGGAAAAAGGATCTTCGGACAAAAATATACCAAGGTGAAAGTCCTACAAATTTCTTTTAAGGAATTCTGGGAGTTATTAGCGATCGCTTTCGTAAGAAAAACAAATGTCACATTTGAACGACATAAACTGTTAAATAGAAAACAACGCGACAGAGAATCCCTTGAACAATTCTGGGGTGCCTTAGCTGAAATGGCGAAAAAGTGCGACATAATCGCAGGAGAAGAAGAGTGGATAAGGGATATTTTCATAAATAATATGAAAAACTACGACATCCAAAGGAAATTGTTAACAGAAACCCTCCCTCCACGCGAAGCACTAAATGTAGCACTCATAGACGAAAAAGGAATTTTAAATCACTTGAAGTTAACCAATAATTTTAAATCCAACGGATCATCCGTACACAAACCAAGCAACCACTTTAACGTCAAAAGAGAACCAACCCTTAACATCGAAAGGAGTAACAACTGTATGAAGTGTGGCGGATTATTCGCAAAAGGTCACTTAGCAGTTTGCCCAGCAAAGGACACGACTTGTACTTCATGTAAATTCAAAGGACATTTCACCAGACTTTGTAGATCTCGTCGCAAAATTGTAAACATTGTAAATACACAAATTGTAGATAATACAGATTTTAATCCGTCGGATATTCAGGATGTAAATACTGACCTCATGGATAGAGAATGTTGTGGCGTCATAAACGCATGGTCAGAATCTGGACAAAGCGAAAACGACGATTATTCTGTACTAAATGTAACTACGATTTTTGATAACGATGGAAAAGAATTGAAGAAACTATTAAACATTGGACTCGGAAAAGAAAACCAAGTAATTTTAAACATTCAAGTGGATTCAGCTAGCCCGGTGAGCTTCCTTAAGAAAAACGTATTTCACGAATTAAAGTTACGAGACCCCTACTTGAAAATTTATCCAGTGGATAAGTCAACTAGAGACCTATACTGTGGCTTCACAGATAATGCCATAAAAATCACTGGAAAGGTGAAGCTTCCGATATTTTCAAATGGTTGGTCAGACAACGACTGTCAATTCTTTCTAACCGAGGGACACGAGAGAAATATCTTAGGAAACGACAACCTTCCAAAAGTGGGGATAGAAGTCTCTCAGAAACACTTCCCACACTTTCAGACTAACAAGCAGTGTAAGTCAATAAATTCCATCTCTCAAACAAACCAAGATAGGGAAATTTTGAATATAACAAAATCATTCAAAAATTTATTCCTTCGGATTGGAAAAATTAAAAATCAGATGAAAATCACCCATTTCCATGAACCCTTAAAACCAATCCAACTAAAGGGAAGACGAGTCCCCCTTCACTTACTGGATGCGGTTAAGACAGAACTCAATAGAGTAAAAGCGGAAGGACATATTAAAAAATTAGAAAACTGCGATGAAGACAGATTCATTAGCCCAATAGTCATCACTTGTAAAAAAGATAAATCCATCAAATTAGCCTTAGATTCCAAGTTCATAAACAAACAGACTTACAAGAACAAATATCAAATGCCAAACATCCACGAACTGGTAAACAATGTCGCGGCACAAATTACTAATGATTCCGTTGGAGAAGTGTGGTTTACTAACTTAGACTTAAAAAACGCGTACAGCCAATTAGCACTAGATAAATTCACTAGTAACCAATGTAACTTCAGTATCGTGGGTGGTGATATTACGGGTACTTACCAATTTTTAACTGGTTTTTACGGCTTAGGGGATATGCCTAACGAATTTCAAAGAGTAATGGACTCTACGTTAGGTTCAATCCCATTTACTAACTGTTACTTGGACGACATTTTAATCTCTTCCAAAGGATCATTCTTAGACCACAAGAATATTGTATTAAAAATTTTATCGACCCTCGACGAATACAATTTTGCGGTGAAATGGTCAAAATGTAAATTCTTTCAAAAAGAAATAGAATGGTTGGGATTCAAAATCTCTAAATCAGGTATTACCCCATTATTCGACAAATCGAAAGCCATAAAAGATCTACCTATTCCGAAGAATTTGAAAGAACT